TTACATTACTCTTTGAGGTCTAGAAAACCTGACACGAAAAGCTTCAAAGACAAGCCAAAATTCTTCGAAAAAATATTCTCCTTATTCTCTAGACGGTAAAAATTGCGCTCGAATGTTTTAAACTCGGGTCGATGTAGAAGACACTTTTTGATAAGATTCAAAGTTCATTTTTTAGCACAACTAATTGTTCTTCATTAACTTTGGTGTATTTCTTCAAATTACCTTCTTCAAAATTACGATAGTATTTAATAGGGGTACCCGAGAAAATGCTCACACAGTATTAGTAGCATCAGAAAAATCTGATACTGGATCAACATCAGCGCATCTTGGCTTACTAATACTCTCTGACGAATCGGAACTTTGTTAACTACCGAAACCCTTCGACCCTATTTAGCCGTAGTACTGTATAGATAACTTCGATGCACGTTTTAGGGCGAAAATAGCCGCATCATACATGATCTTTTGAAATGTCATTAAAGGATTGAAGACTGTCTACCTTGTGTTGCGTAAAGTCAGACGTTTCCTCATAAGTAATAATAGTTTATAAAAACACTTTAAAATTATTTTTTTAATAATAACTAAATACTTTAGCTACAAATGTCGTATAAAACACGCGTTTTAGTAAAGCTCTCACTATCAGTGCTGGAACCGTCTCGCAATGAGAACGTGGTTGGATTAAATAACGATCGATATTTTATTTCCCTCACGTTTACTTCGTCGATAGATCTGCTCTTTGTGAAAACAGAATTACCTACATCGAAAAACCGACCTCGTCTCAATATGATTGTAGTGACGATAATAGCACGTTCATATATATATGATCATCTATAGTTTAAGTTATTACTCTACATGAACGCACATTACATTTACATGAGAGATTACTCAAAATGGCCGTCATGGCGTTCAATTTCGCTCTTGAAACAAATTTGGTATCTGATTGATCGGATGCCGTATGATCCTCAATAATTAGTAGCCAGCGGCTCAAGACAACATGGAAGCATATGCATACGCGACTATTTTCTGTATATGTAATATTCAGAACCTACTAGGTTGTCTGGGGCTGGGTAGTAGATCTGAACATTTTGATAACTGGTGCGGTAAGCAGGCGAGATTGCTGTTTAGTACCGCAAATCAACGCTCAGTGGTTAAATTTATTTCTCAAAGGTGAGAGCGCTAGTGGAATTTATTAAAGACCGGGTAAGACATAGTATAAAAGGCCTTTCAACGAAGTTTGTTACTGGTGCAACTAGTGCAATAATAATATTTGGAGAACGAAAATGACGGGATTGTCAATTACCGAGTGAATCCTTTCACTTTCGCGTTTTAAACAGAAAAACGAGGTGTTGTGATCACGGCAGCTTTTGAGCAAAACAGAGCGTGAACAATGCGCCCCTTTCAGCATAATATGAGATTTTTCGAAACACGCGTTGCATGACTGAAACGAAAATATTAAGAAGAAGAAGAAAAAAAAAAAACGATTCCTTTACGAGTGAGGACAGATGCTGACCCATGCGATCAGTGTCAATGTCAGTTCGAGCATTATTACTAATAAATAAGATTGTTCAATATACGCCTTCGCCATAGATAGAACAACGCACACAAAAATAACACCAAACAAAAGAACCCTCATATTTTCCAGGTTTATGTTCGTGTGATTTGTAGTACTTTCATGCCTTGAAAAAGCAAGATAATGATAAGTGTATCCTACCGTCCATAGTCTCAGACAAACTTTCCGCAACGGAACGTGGTAAGGTAATGAAAACCATAGCGCTAAATAAATTATAAAAGAGAGTATATTTACCGTGTGCCGAAATACCATTGTTTTGTCTTAACATGGTTTTAAAACTATTCAAGTTTGTCGACTTGGCAAGTAGCCTTCGACAACCTAATAATACCTAAAAATATAAGCGTACGTTGAACAGACCCATTAATCGATATGGAAGGCTTTTCCAAATGGCCTAATCTCATTTTGTGGGCCTAGCCATAGCGTTTCTTTCGGAAATATTATATAGACCTTCTGAATCGTTTCTTCCTTTTTATTCAAAGGTACTCAATAGCTGCCTGCCTACCTATATTCACTTAAACAGCTAATCGTGAGATATTTCCTAGAGAGGTAGATGAGATAGTTCCTAGAAAGGATATTAGTGAATGTTCTTGGTACTGCAACACCATAATGGATCCATGAAAAATACCTATTTTCTTTATTAGGATTTAAAACAAACGTTGTTGGACATTGCGTATATGTACCAACGGTTGTTCATTCATCTAGCTTTACGCATTTTATTGCATTTCTTAGTCATATATCTATATGTTTACATCTGTTTATGGTTGCGAATTACATAACATAGATAGCTACTCCACACGTTACCATCTTTCAAGGTTCCATGAATATCACCTATAATGACTATCAATCACACACATAAATAACTGAATATACATGATACTTTTACATCATGTTATTAGGGTTCGTGACTGGTTAGGGTGAACTAAAACATCTGCAAGGCGACATTTCTGTTTAGCACAAACCCTTGGAACACCTTTTCAGAACTTAGCAGTTTGTGGAGGAGAGTACAAATTATTCACTCATCAAGAATGACGAAGTGAAACAAAAAGATTGATAAACTTAGGAAGTACAATTATTGATCTAAATGTTTTAAACTCAGTAACTGATTGTCCGTGCTGGTGGTATATGGGGGTGATACACACATTCAAAATATTAGTGAAACGCAAAAGGTCCAAGTTACAAAATGCCTACCAATATGGAAGAGAGAGCTGATCCGATTAGCCAAAAATGACGGTCGTAGCCTCAAAGTAGCAGTTGGTATCTGGGTGTCTAATTGAAATATTATTATTATTATTATTGAATACGATGAATACAATATGTCGCCTCGTGCAGAAGTTTGAAAAAATAGGTCACTAGTAGCGTAGCTATAGTGATAAGTGTAAAATGAGTAAATTTTTTTTAAAGCAATTATTTAGAAAAATGAGTAACTGAAATATAGCAAAAGAAAAATCAGTGAAAGTGATAAATAGCGGCACTTCGGCAGATTTATCGGAAAATGGGTCACCAATCTACATCAAAAGAGCAGCGCGCACAGCGGTCTCGAGTATGGTTAAATCGGGCCTAAGAATCAGTTGCCTGCAAAATATAAACTCATGCGTTGATCCGAATATTGTCGTGAAAGCATATCGATTTGTTGATGTGTTCGAGTGTTACACAGTTTTGCTAGATGCATGCAATGGAGGTGATGTAGCTAACAATGGGACACATCAAAAGAGGTCAGGATTTTTAGACATATTTAATGTCGTGTGTCCTTGACTGAAGCGTTAAATAACCCTTAAACAGGCGACGGGTTATTCGTATAAGTGCGCTCCGTTCTCCACAATGTCCAAAAGCATCGGAATAAAAGGTTCAAAGTCAAGCCATGTTTAAGGGTCAATGCTGGGGTGAATGACGTCAAGGCAACAACTGGCGCGTCCCTTAATGAGTTGAACAATCGCATCAGCAAACCCGTAACCGTAGCCGCTGGTGTCAGTGATCGCCAAAATCTATCAAATGCAACCCTTTCACGGCGACCAGAGGCGTAATTTTATGAGGGTGCGACACATATCCAGTTGATCATCATATACCAATGTAACCGCAAGTGGTTAACACAATCATCGAGCTAGGTAAGTGGTGAAAATTAGTCATAATGAAAAGGAAAACTAGATGGGGAAACACTCGAGCATATTAATTATTTTAAAGTAACAGCGATTACACAAGCAGACATATTTATGGCAGAAATTGGTCATGATACAAAGAACAGCTTTGTGTGGATCAGTTGTTGGAGTTCATCGATCGAAACGTTGCTAGGAAAGGAAACACCGGTAACACTGATTTGTTGATAAATGAGAACCCGTCGGACTCAGAACACAAAGATTAAAAGAAACAATTTTCCCGTCATGCCGGATCGCGTAATAAACCCTACAAGTTAGCTCAAGACTTTATTTTCGAAAGGACCTGTCAAGGCAAGCGGGTCCGAGGAACTATGCTTACCAAGCACCACCATCTGAACAGATGCTGACGTGGGGGTACGTCACACAAATTGATTAAACAGCTGAGCTGTGACAATGTCACCAATTTTCTTCGATTCTCATTTTGTTCGATGATAAAAATGAATGTCGTTCAATGGGGAACGTATTATGACAAACCTATGTATAAATGGTTGCATATTATTAATGCAATCCACTAAAGGTAGATACATGCAGAAGAAGAGAACGAAGGGTTATCAAAGAACAGAATGTAAAACTATCCATACGTCAGAGTCCCGTAGTTTTTCTACCTGGGCT